AGGAGGTTCATCGGTAGTAGCTATCGGGCAAGGAAGCACCTGCAAGATAGCTACCCTTGGGGTTATAGGAATCTCAGGGGCTACAGGTTCTTCAAGCGTCACCACTGATGGTCGTTGTGATTCATGTATTGGAGATGGCTAGAGAAAAGATAAATAGAAAGTTACTATAGGCACAGTATATAGAAGTTCAATGTCAAGATAACTGTTCACCAAACTGTTGTCCTCATCCACAAAATGCAACATAACTCATGTTGCTGGATTAAATTGAGAAGCTGGAGTTGCCTCCAGGGCAGAAGGAGAAATAGAAGACTTTGGAGGTGAACCTTGGCTAGGCAAGGGGGCAGATACCCTAACCTGGATAAAAGAGAGGAAGAGAAAGTTCGGTCATCTGTTCGAATAGACTATAAAGTTATTCAAGATTCAAGAATAAGGGAAATGCACTCTTAAAGGATTAGCCCGAGGAGGAGAGACACTTGTTTTTCATGCAAATGATAAAGAGGTCTCCAGCGGAAGAATCTTTTCTTCCTTTACGGCCTAAATCAAGCAATCATGGTCAAAGTACAAGCAAATACCTCAAGCTCCCTGAAGGTGACATTATGCATATCTTCAGCTTTTTTATGCATTTCAGCTCCCAGTGGATCCTCCTTGAATGCAGTAGTTGGTTTCTTGGAAGCCTGAGGCTCTGATTTCAAAGAAAACAGGGACAATTAGATAAAGAAGAAGGGTGGTAGTCTGATAAAGGAAAGCATAAAACTTACTTGAAGGCTTTTGCTTCTTTATGCCTGCCTTAGAAACTGGAACCGACGAGGCTGAAAACTTGGAAACCTGGATAGTCCTTAATATCTTACTCTTTCTAGTGGGGATTGGCCGTTTAAGTTTGGGTGGTGATGCAGGTTCAGATTCTAAGGTCTCGACCACAACTACTTTTCTCTGCTTAGGCGCTCTGATGTTTGCCTAGGGTGCATCTTCAGCTTCTGAATCTCCAAAAGATTCTGAAACATCTCCACCTTCTCTAGTTTCTCGTCTTTGAGCCTCTACTGCGGCTCCATGAAGAACTGTTGCATCAGCTGAATCATCCTCTGATTCAATAGATGCTAATTCAACATCTACTTGAGCTGCAGGATCAAGAAAAATGAGAATTAAATAACTTTGAAGGAAGGCAGAATCGACTCAGAAAGAGGAATACCTATCAAGAGTAACCGATTTTTCTGTTGAATCATTTCCTTCCAATTTTCAAGTTCGCCCGAACTTGGGTATGATTTGAGGAAAAGTTGGCTAAAAAGACGGTCGTGAGTTTCTAGCAAATCTCCTCCATATTTCTTAGTCCATTTGGCTTCCCACCAGGTGGAGAAAAGTGAAATACATTCAAAGTTAAGAACTATAGACTTTCGGGCAGCCTGATTCATAACTTCAAGACTTTGTCGGGCCGCTCGAAAGGTCACTTCTAAAGGGGATAGTGACCGAAAGGAAGTGCCACAGTGAACAGAATCAAAGAATGGGATGGGAATGGCTTGCCTAAAACCTAATTGCATGCTACAAAAATTAGGGTGATATACTTCCAACCCACGATCATAGTGGTTGCCATGAACTCCCCAGGCTATGTCTCTTGGTTGAATACAACTGATAAATTTCTCCCTGCAAAATGAGGTGGCATCCTCCCGGGGGGCGTCTTGGAAGGCTTGGTCCGATAACAAAGGATATCTCCTCAAAACTGAAGTGCCCCACTCCAAGTATGAACGGGTTCTACAAACTTTGAAGAAATAGAAACAGGCGAAAGTAGAGTGATCTGTAGGAGCGGCTTCAGCTAATATTCGAGCAGGGACAACACCTTCTAGGAATTCTAAGTTAACAGCCCGAAATTCTGGGAAATACCATTTGAGCCATATTTGGATCATCTATATGGGTCCATTCAGATTGGTTTCAAATGGCTCGCCTTGAGTCATTTCAAAGAGGAAATGATAGAGATGAGAAAAAAGAAATGGACCTGTGGCTACATCATCAAAGTTGTGGAGGGCTTCCACTAAGGGGATCCATTCAACCTTCACCCCTTTAGATTTATTTGGGAAAACATGCTTGTTAAGCCAATATAAAAGGAAGTACATATGTTCCTGATCTTTATTAGCATGAGAGGAATCTGCACCAAAATTCTCCTTTACAAAGGGGATGAATCCCTTGAAAGAGGTCCCGTAACTCTTAAAAGTAGCAGAGTTATATTCTAATCGGAGTATATTCTAATCGGAGAAAAGAGGCGGAAGAACTGGAGCTTTCAGCAATTGAAGAGGAAGAGGGAGCCCAGTCTTAAGTAACATCTACAATCTTGCTTGATGGTCTTAGCCCGAAGACTTGGACCATATCTAGAATAGTTGGAGACATGGGACCCATGCGAAAATTAAAAGTATTTGTGCCCGAGTTCCAGAAAAGAAGAGAAATAGCAAGTAGTTCGGGCTTGGGAATAATAGTAGTTTTTGAAAGCATTATTAGTTCATAAATACCATTGTTCATCCACTTCTTCTTGAAGGTTGGTTCTAGTTCATCACCACTGAGTCCAAGTTGGGTCGTTCATTAGAGGAAAGCCACGACGATATGATGACCACTTAGATGAAGAGATGCCCGACTCGGCCAAGAAAGGATTTGGGGTAAACCAGTTATCCTTGGGCATATTACTCTCAATCACAGCAGGGACGCGAGAAATCCATGCAGGACCCAACAATTGTACCCCGTGTGCTTCAAAGCAAAGTTCAGAGCACAAACCTGCCTAAGGGTGATGCAATATGTTGACTAAGTGGCGTAAAGTAGTGATGCCTTCACCAGATTCATATGATAGCTGGACTTGGTCGGATCCTGAAGCCATTTGATAAGTAGTGAAAAGGTGTGACAAAAAGGTGATGAGGGTAGAAGATATGAGGCGAAGAGCAAAAAGAAGTATGAAAATTTGGAAGAAGTGAAATATCTGAGAAAATAGGAAATCGAAAAGGGGGGAATTTTGTATTAGGGATATCTAATGATTCGTGGGTCAGTAGAGAGATCACAAGCAAGTGACGGTTGTTTTTGAAAATGGTACAAGTCCCAAGTAAAGATGTAGGTATGAAGGGCGGCTATTCAATCAATATTGGCGCCTGGAATTCCAGCCTGAATATTAATTGAAGGGGCACTGTTTGAATTAAAACTTGAACTTTTGGCTCCAAAGGGGGTTAATCCAAAAGCAGATCCAAAAGAAAGGGAGCTGAAGCACAGAAGAAGGAAGAAGCCCTGCTCCCGACTAAGTGCAGCGCACTTAAGCTACTTGATCACCTACCTAGAGATCAAATGGTGTAGACTAGCCAGCTAATTAGCCCAAAAGTACTTTATAATGGCAGTACGAGTAAAAAGCTGATGAGTCACTACCCTTCAGCTGCATTCGGGCAAGAATAATGCTACAGACAACCAAGCCAAATTGTCTATAAAAGGAGAAGGAGAAAACAGGATTATTGACACTCAATCAAACAAACAAATACACAAACTCTGCTCAAGCCAGATTTGCATGCGAAGATGTAGTCAGCACCAAGCCTTCATCCCTTTCGGGATCAACCTTCACCAAAAAAACCTATGTAAAAGCTCTGCTACCCTGTCTAAATCTTGTTGTAGTATCGATTTCCTCCTATAAACTCATCCTCCAATCTCCCTTCTAGCATTCAAACCCTTTGTAAATCACAAAGAGAGAAAGTTGCAAGACAATCAGCCTTGCCCAAGCCTCTTTGTTTTGTCTTTTTATCTAGTAATATGATGTATACTTCCATCTGTATCCGAGTTATTTCTAGCAAGTTTGTGATTAAAAGACTTCTAAGTTCTAACCCTTCGGGCATATAAGATTGATCAATTAAAAGTCTTTGGTCTCAAGGCATAAAAAAGAACTTTATGTGGACTTAACCCATCCACGACAGTCTTTGATAGCAAGAAGTTCGAAGTTACTTGGGGTGCAAGTAATAAGCCTATTTCTCAGTTTTACTTCTTTATATTATGATTGTCATAGAACGCTTGAGTATAGAATTAACTCTGATGGGAAGCCTCAAGGCCTATACCTAAGGCCCTACAAAGGCACCTATCTGGGTTCGTTCTGCTCTTCGGGCTCGGGCGATTAAAGGATAACAATTGTAATACTTTTGCAACAATGAAACAACCACTATATGTTCGAGTACTTGGTTAGTTTTGATGGGAAGCCTCAAGGCCTACACCTAAGGCCCGACAAAGGCACCTTTCATAGCTAACTCGGTCTCTCGGGCATATACAATTAAAACTAAACACCTGTTTTACATCTGTCATGCTAAAGATGGTAGTGGCACGCCTGAACACCTAAAGTTAGTTTTGATTGTAAGCCTCAAGGCCTACATCTAAGGCCCCCACAAAGGCACCTTTTAGAATTAACTATGTCCTTCTCTTACAGCCCGCCAATAAGCAGAAGCCCGACAGACAAAATCAACCGGCGCCAAACTCTCGGGGAGCTGTGTGCTCGTCGCCAAGAAACGTCCCCATCGGAAATTCCTCCAGACGAACAGTTACCATGTATTAATCTTTCGAGCTAATTAGAAAATGCACCATGAGATTTTGGTTCACCTTAAAAAAGGACTCGACCTTTCAATTTTTCTGTATATGGTACCTATTAATTAATGATTAACGGGCAAGTAATTCATTCAACAAAGTCTAAAAAGACATCGTATAAAATCATGCAGGCGGACATAAGGCCCTGAAACTTGGAAAAAAACGACTCGAGACGCCCCTCATGCAAGCATAGCAGGAGTGAAGGTTTTTGTACAATGTACTTTGAGTTGGCTGACATCAATTTCCAGTTAAGAAACGTGAGAATTCTTCGATGCGACCGTAACACCACCTTGTAGTGTTACAATTTACGGTACACAGTTTAACACGTATTTGAAACGCGTACTTGTGAACACCGCACATACTGTCACACCGAAAATTCTTCAATGCGGAACATTGATTATCACCTGAAAATAAATAAATCTTTGTTCCGAAATCAACATCAGATGGAGAAAAAATTTCATTGATTTTTTCATCTCTGTTCAAGCTTTATACAGTTTGGTTCTCTACAGGACTAGTGGGCATTTTGAGACGGAACTCCAGAATTATGCACATCTACCAACCGTACGGCTGAATAATTTGACATTATGCAGAATCCATGTAGTAGAGGCGACATCAAATTTCGATCGGTACAGTGGGTTCTGGAGTTGGCGAAGGTATATCGGCTCCATTTTCTACGAAGATACACTCCTTACGTCACCGATGCGCTTAAAGGTTTCAACTCCAATTTTCAGACACCAAATGGGTTCTGCAACTGGCAAGCAACAAGATTATGAAAATCCAATATGTGAATTCATCATTCATAACAGAAAGTAAAAACGATTTGATTTCGATAACAACACTTGAACAAACATATAGATGAAGACTCTTTTAAGGGCATTGTAGCCAGAAAACGGACTGACCCGTTACTCAATACATTAGTGTTACAAACATCATCCTTGTAGGTGGAGAAGGAAATGCCAAAGATAAAGATATAATCACTCACCTTCTTGTCATGACTGTAGATGATAATCTAAAGTATAGGCATGACTGTCAGAAGGACTTGTGCCGGGCCTGAAAACAAACACCAAACATGCAATGTCATTAAGGATACATTCGATATTGGAAAGCATTCAACAGAAATCAAATTTGAACAGCTCAAAAATGTATAAATCAATTTTTCAAAGTGGTTGAATTGTTTTATCATTAAAATGCACTTCTTTCGGTATGGGAGTTACGTTATTCTTTTCTAATTGGAAGATCATATTAACTGAACCTACCTTTTATTAATGGTACCATAGTGGAACTTTATCTTTCCAGCCCTTACATCTTCAACATACTGCAGCCACAAGATATAAGAAACCGTGACATAGGATAAATGTCTAGAAGAAATCAAATATATGTTAGCATCTGATAGACGTCCATACCAATTTTAAGGTAACAACCATTGACGAAAAGGAGAGAGAATCAAAAGGTATCTCATCAAGTGCAAAAAGCCCGCATTCTGACGATTCAGGACCTGGTGAAAAATGGGGTGTCTTGAGCCTTCCTAAGAAAATTACATACGTCTGCTCCGAAAAACACAACACAAACTCAAAACATCTTTATCAAGTGCACATGAATTTGTTTAAGGAAAAAGGTAAACAAAAGAGAAGTTTCTCGCTTACCTGGCCAATCAGTGGGATGTCCAATTGAGCAAAAGGAGACAGCACTTCCACATCTGCACATGCTTCTTCCCTGGTTTCCCTGATGGCTCCTTCTGCAGCTGATTCCCCAATTTCCATGTAACCTGCAGGAAGAGTCCTGAATGACAACACCCAACAATTAAAATTACGATACACATCAAAGATACGAGATAGTCCATTCATCGTGATGAAAAGTTGCTACTTTATTCATTAACAATCGTACCAAAGGCCATATGATGGTTGAATCTTCCTTTTGCAAAGTAGGATCCTGTTATCATGCTCAATCAGACAACCCACAACCTGTAAGCATCGGTTGAACAATACGGAAATTAATGTCACATTTGAAATAAAATAATCACTCCTAATCAGCAAACATATCATAAAAAGGACCAAACTTAGAGGACAATCAAAATCCTGTGTCCATAGGCTCTGGAACTTCAAACTCAATCCTGAGCACACAACATTTGTAAACCTTCCTCCTTTTCAAATAAGACCATAGCGTCTAGTCTACATTTACAATTATAGAAACTGACTCCAGGTGATGAAAAGAAGAAAAAAGTGAGCAGGACAAACTGGTGAATAGTAGAGGCAGAGTTACAGTTATACGAAATTGGAGCATTGGTCCTTGAACAAATTGTATACAACAACAACAAAGCCTTTTCCCACTAAGTGGGGTCGGCTATACGAATCCTAGAACACCATTGCGCTCGGTTCTGTGTCATGTCCTCCGTTAGATCCAAGTACTCTTAAGTCTTTTCTTAGAGTCTCTTCCAAAGTTTTCCTAGGTCTTCGTCTACCCCTTCGGCCCTAGACCTCTGTCCCATAGTCACATCTTCTAACCGGAGCGTCAGTAGGCCTTCTTTGCACATGTCCAAACTACTGTAACCGATTTTCTATCATCTTTCCTTCAATTTCGGCTACTCCTACTTTGCCTCGGATATCATCATTCCTAATCTTATCCTTTCTCGTGTGCCCACACATCCAACGAAGCATCCTCATCTCCGCTACACCCATTTTATGTACGTGTTGATGCTTCACTGCCCACCCTTGAACAAATTGTATCTGAATTGAAAATCCCTTAGATTTGTAATCTGAACTTAAACAACCATGCAGCATTGATCCTCGACTCTAGTATTGGGAGGAGGCAAGTCGCAGATAACGCTTCTAACACTGTTTTGACCAAAATGTATCAACTGCTCGACAATATGATTTCATGGAGCGCAGCCGAGTTGGATTTCATAGTCTGGTTAATGGGGCTGCAGGATTGGGCTTGGATGAGGCTTTGAGGTGGGGATTAGGGTTTAGGATTGGGGGAGGCTGCGAGATGGGGGTTGGACCGAACCTCCAATTACTCTAACAAGTAAATAAATGTATGTGAAGGCACACATGCATAGCAAAATCTATTAGACAGAAATATCCTAAAAAGTATTTGATGGGGAAAAGAACCAGGGCAGCCTTTTGGGTAGCCTTTTGAGTATCCAATCTGGTTTGACTCTAATACAACAGGTGAAGAAGTAGCATAGTTAAACTTATTTTTCATTACCATCAAAATCAGATTTTGGAATCAACAAAAACTTCTGCAACACAGTAAAGTGAAAAATTCCCAAACGCTATAAAGTTTGTTACTTTGTTGTAACCTGAAAACCTTAGGATCATTTTTCCATGGATTGGCACATGCACGACTCATTTCAATTGAAAAACAAACTCTAACTAGAATAGTATACCATTTTTGGGTTCTCATACGCAATCCTCTCACAAACTGTGCAAATAGCTCGTATCTTCTCCTCACCGTCGGGTATCTCATGCTTTGTTGGACCACCACACGACTGGCAGAAATTAATCTTACGAGCATTGCCCTTCATTGGAATATAAATAAATTTGTAAAGAAAGTATGAATCAATAAACAAAAAGAAAATTTAGACAAGTATACACGAAACGCTCACTTTGGCTTGTAATCTATAATGTATAACATCGAGTTTTTGTTGTCGAAAACATAGATGATAACTTGTTAAAGCTAAGAAAATGGGAAAAGCTGCAATCTTTAATCAATCTGAAATGCATTATACACCCCACTTTGATTCCATGACTTATTCACTTGGTACAATACATTGTATTCCATGACTTATTCACTTGGTACAATACATTGTCCTTATGAGCCATGTCTACTAATTTTTCTTTGCAAATACTACAAATGAAGCCAAAGGGATGCCAAAAGAAACTTCTAATTACCCAACATACTCAAACTAAGAGGTCAACCATATCTGTCCTCGATTGTAACTAGATATAAACATGTAGTTTAGTTTCAAATTTTCAATAGCTAACAAAAACCCACAACGCCAGAATCAAACCAACCAAAATTCACCAGAACCCACCACATAAATTGAACGTCCAAACCCAAAATCCATATCAAACCCAACATTCAAAAAAAAAAAAAAAAGGCAAAAAGGAAAACAGAGGCTTACAGCAGACTGAACCGCAACTGAAGAAGAAGAGCCACCTCCGTTCGACCCAGAAGGAGCTGAGGACAAGCTGAGAGCTCCGAAACGAGGGCGACGAGTGGAGGACGGCCAAGTGGCGGTGGTTGCGGGCAATAATGTTGAGGAGGAAGAAGAAAAAGATAATAAAGGGTTGGAGCAGGTGGAATTAGAGAGGAAGGAGAGGGTACCACTTGTAGTAGAAATACTGGTACAAGTATTAGAATATGGCTTCCAGCGATGAGAAACGAAGCCAAACGAACAACCCAAGATCTGTCTGGGTTTTAGCATTATTTTTTGACCAGAAGATTATCAAAACCCAATAGCTTCAATCAACCCCAAATTATAGAGAATCGGGTTCGCAGAAACGAGAGTTACTACAATATCCTTTTTCTTTTTATCTTTCTTTTTTATTCTTTCTTAGAACACTTCCTGTTTGTAAACATTTCCATCCCAAAAAAACCCTTCGGCAATAAGCAATTCAATCCCTCAAGTGAATGGTAGCTGCTTTTAGTGAACGTTCAGTGTCCAAGTACATTTCTATTCCTAAATTGAATAGACCAAATAATTTGTATTAAAATATTATTAAATTTTTAATAAAATAATAAAAGATAAATTTTCGGATGATAATAAAAGATTGGTTGAAGGTATTTGAAAATATTGAAATTTAGTATAAGGTGGAAGAACATGGCTAGGTAATTACTAAAAAATATATATATATATATATATTATATATTTTTTTAATTAATTTTTATATAGTTTTTTATAATTAAAAAAATTATTGTAGCTATGTCAGCCTTACGTCACATGGCATAAGGGCTAGGTTAGTCGATTTTAGCTTAGGTGAGCAACTAGGCTCCCTAGAGAATAGTGGATTGGAATGGGTGGAGGAGTTTTGGGGGGAGGGAAGGAGGGAATTTAATCCATTATCCCCTAGAGGATTTGAGAGAGGCGGGAGTGCTCTAAGAGCAACTCCAGCGTTGCAAAGGCCCCCTAGGGCTATTCACTATTGAATCCACCCAGTGAACAGTAACTGCCCTTAATGAACAGTAACTGTCTTTTGCATCTTCATCCCTAAATTGAATAGCCCTAGCAATAGGCAATAAAATATTAGTATTTTTTATTTAAATTTTGCAAAGTGGAACTAACTAAATCAAATATCCTGGAGAAGACCTATTCGACCTTCCATGCCACCAATATTGTCCTGCAGCAACAATATAGGGCACAGAAATTCACCAAGTTTTCAGATTTGATCTCTGTTTTACTTCTCACTGAAAAGCAGAACTAGTATTTGATGAAAAATAATCAAGCTCGACCCATTGGCTCAAACGCCGCGCCTAAAGTGCATACGACCTATTTTAGCAACCATAAACGACGAAAGAATCGGCGTGGCTGTGGCAATAGGCGGCAAGCCCAACCACGGGCCTAAGGTCAACAGAGTGCCGCACCTAAGGGAAGAAATGTGACCCAGCAGCGTCCACCACTCGCCCCTAAGGTCCCAAACTTCAAGAACAAGGGCAAAGCTCCCGTTCAGGCTACTTCTACTGAACTGGACATGTGCTATCGCTGTGGATCAAGGGATCATTAGTCACACGTATGCCGAGCTTCCCCTGAGGCTATTGCCAAGTCGTGAGTCTAACTTTGCACATGTGGATCATCCAAAAGATGCAACTACATCAATTGAGATATCGGATTTCCAGGAGGCGTCAGCACCTATGGATGAATAAATTAGACATGTTTTTAGGGTGTTTACCCCTAGTGGCCGAACCCACAAGGAGTGGCCGGCCCTACCCCCTATTTTGCTAGGTTTATGGTTTAATTTAGAACAATTTTTCTAAGTATTTGGAATAATTTGTTTGTTTTTTGTTTGTTTTGAATTATGGATTGTTATTTGAATGGATATTATTTTTTCGAATTGCTTAATTGAATGAATGAACTTATATTTATACATATGACCAATTCAATCAATTTATTTCTAGGAATGTCTTGTGGGGAAGTTAGTTGTCTGGCAGATAGTGCAACCACGCACACCATCTTGCGTAAACGACACTATTTTACTAACTTCATACCCAAGAAATCTCCTTTAACAACTCTCTCAGGCTCATCCAACCTGATTGAAGGATACGGAAACGCACATATTATGTTAAGAAGGCATTTTATTCTCCACGTTCCGGAAAAACGTTGCTAAGTTTTAGAAATATTCGAGATATTTAATATCATCTTGAAACCACTGAAGATCATGGTTCTGAATTTCTTTGTATCACCTTGTATGAATATGGCTAAAAGCATATTCACGAGAAGTTGGAACGTTTGCCGAATGGGTTATACATCACAACCATTCACGGCATAGAAGCCCACAGTGTGGCCGGCCCTATGCCTGAGTTCCCATACACTTTGTTGCTTTGGCATGATCGTTTGGGACATCCTGGACGTGATATGATACGCCGTATCCTCAAATCTTAACACGAGCATAAGTTACATCCCAATGTTAGACTCCCATCATGCAAAGCGTGTTCTTTAGGGAAGTTGAATACTCAACCCTCATATACAAATATTATTCATGACCCACCTAAATTTCTTTAGAGGATTCAATTGGACATTTGTGGACCTATCCAACCAACATGCGGACCATTCACATACTTTATGGTGTTGGTTGATGCATCGACACGATGGTCGCATGTTTGCTTGTTGTCCACACGCAAAGCCGCGTTTGCTAAACTCCTAGCTCAAATCATTAAGTTATGGGTTCACCATCTTGATTATCCAATCAAGTCGATTCGACTGGATAACGCTGGAGAGTTTACGTCACAGACTTTTGACGATTATTGCATGTCAGTAAGGATTAATGTGGAACATCCTGTGCCCCATGTTCACATCCAAAATGGCCTGGCATAAGCTTTCATACATAAAGCACCTTCAATTGATCGCTTGGACTTTGGTTATGAGAATCAAACTGTTGGTATCTGCCTAGGGCTATGTAATATTGCACGCAGCTACGTTGGTTCGCCTGAGGCCCACCACTACCCAACCACATTCACCGTTACAGTTGGTCACTGGATACGAGCCTAATGTCTCGCATTTACGAGTGTTTGGGTGGGCCATTTATGTGTCAATAGCGTCGCCGCTACGTACCAAAATGGGTCATCAGAGAAAAATGGGAATCTATGTCGGTTATGATTTGCCATCAATTGTTCGCTACTTAGAACCCTTGACAGAAGATCTCTTTACCGCAAGTTTTGAGGATTGTCACTTTGATGAGACAGTCTTCCCGTCGTTAAGGGGAGATAAGCATGTTAACGTTCCCGTAGAACGCCGCGAATTGTCGTGGTATGCTCCCACTATGTCTCATTTAGATCCCCATACTGCCCAATTTGAAACTGAGGTGCGTCGAATTATAGATCTTCAGAGCATTGCTCAAAGCATGCCAGATACTTTTAATGATCTAGCAAAGGTGACAAAATCACACATACCCGCTGCAAACACACCTGTAAGGATAGATGTACCCCGTGTACGTCAAAAAATCGCCTGGGAAGGCTGGACCGTCCCCAAAGATGGGGAGGCCACACCTTTCACGCGGTAAGGTACATTGGCGGCTAGCCAATCATCTGCTCCGACCCTGAAGCGTGGCAGACCCCTTGGTTCAAAAGATTCACAACCCAGGAAGAGGAAAATTGCACCAACTAGTGACCCAAGTTTGAATCCGACCATCACTCACTCATGCATTCCAACGCATGAGGTTATTCTAGATTACGGTGATGCTTCATATGAAACATGCAGGCCTCCTGAGAATCGCGAGATTTCGGTTCACTACACAGTATTGGATGAGGTTTGGAATAGGAATGAGATGATCGTCGACGATGCATTCTCGTACTCAGTAGCTACTGACATCATGCTTAGCGATGACATTGAACCACGTTCCGTCGATAAATGCCGACGTAGAACCGATTGGTCAAACTGGAAACAAACGATCCAAGTCGAACTCGATTCGCTCGCAAAACGTAAGGTATTTGGACATATCGTTCCTACACCACCACGTGTGAAGCCCGTTGGCTATAAGTGGGTTTTCGTGAAGAAGTGTAATAAGAAGAATGAAATAGTGCGATACAAAGCACGCCTCATAGTGCAAGGCTTCTCTCAGTGCCCAGAGATTGATTACGATGAGACGTATTCCCCTGTAATGGACGTTATAACATTCTGCTACCTAATCAGTTTGGTAGTTTCTGAAAAACTGAATATGCAGCTTATGGATGTGGTAACCGCGTATCTCTATGAAGATCTAGATATGGAAATTTATATGAAAGTTCCAGAATGACTTCCATTGACTGGTTCAAATAGTTCTAGACCACGGAACACTCTCTCAATTAGGTTGAGGAGGTCACTCTACGGATTAAAACAATCCAGGCGAATGTGGTATAATCGTCTGAGTGAATATTTGACAAGTCAGGGTTATGTGAACAATGAACTATGCCCATGCGTGTTCATAAAGAAGTCACATTCCGGATTTGCAATCGTTGCAGTTTATGTCGATGACATGAACCTCATTGGGACTCCCGCAGAGCTTGAGAAAATTGCTACACACTTGAAATCGGAATTTAAGATAAAGGATCTTGGGAAAACTTAATATTGTCTCAGCCTAGCATTGTTCAAATGGAATCCTAGTACATCAATTAAACTACACCCAAAAGGTGTTGCGACATTTTAATAAGGATAAAGCAAAGTATTCGAGTACACCTATGGTCGTTCGGACTCTAAATGCTAAACAAGATCCCTTCCGTCCAAATGAGGATGAGGAAGAAATTTTGGAACCCAAAGTTCCTTACCTAAGTGCAATTGGGGTTTTATTGTACTTGGCTCAGTGCACTAGACCCAACATCTCATTCGCTGTGAATCTATTGGCTAGATACAGCAATACGCCCACACGCATGCACTGGAATGGTGTTAAAGACATTTTCCGCTGTGAATCTATTGGGTTTGTTCTATACCCGCGAATCTCCAAGTGTTGCCGCCCCCTATGGCCCTCAGATTGATTCTCGCCTTGTTGGTTACACAGATGCTGGATATCTGTTTGACCCACATAGAACACGTTCTCAAACGGGTTATGTCTTTACCGTTGGAGACACCGCTATATCTTGGAGGTCTACTAAGCAAACGCTAGTTGTGACTTCATCTAACCATGTTGAGATTCTCACCCTACATGAAGCATCATGTGAGTTCTTTTGGCTGAGAGAAGTTATGGAACATATTCGAAGCATTAGTGGTCTTACATCAGTCGTTGACCTTCCTACAATGATCTTTGAAGACAATACAGCATGTATCGAGCAGCTGAAAAAGGGATACATCAAGGGAGACAACACCAAGCACATAGCGCCGAAGTTCTTTTACTCACATCAGTAGCAGCAGCATCAGAACATTGAAGTCAAGCAAATCCGTTCCCAGGACAACCTGGCCGATCTCTTTAC